CAAAAGGAACCACAATGGAGGCGCTCCGGCGCACTCAGTATAGGGACGACGATGACTTTACGGAAGGCACAGACTGGGAGGATAATAGGACACGGCGTCATTTTATCAGTAAAGTCCTCATGATCATCGCCGTAAGAACATTTCTCCAAACGGGTTCATTTCAAAGGAGTCTTATGTGTCTTATATGTCTCTTCAGTTCCAAATGGCTTTTACAGGCGGATGTACTGTGGGGGTCCTCTTCTGGCCTGCTGGAAAGAATACGTTGAAGGAATCTTATTACTATTATATAGGGGCCGGTGGAATGTTCGTCTGTAGTACCGTAATATATTGTTGTAGAAGACTAGCTCGAAAAGTGCCACTCAATTATTTTCTACTATTTGTCTATACTATTTTCACTACGCTGCTGGTCTGCTCTGTTACCGTTCACTATGAAACAAAATTGGTGAGCTATTACACTTCAGGTTCCAAAGAATAGTAGTTCATAAATAGTAAGGAAATCGTATAATGCTTTGTTACAATATTCTTAATTAATCATTCAGCTGCATCCTTAGTCCTCATCTTCTTGTATCCAATTCTCTTCAGATTTTGTACGCTGTGGGAGTGACTGCACTACTTTGTATTTGCCTCACCATATTCGCAATGTGCCTTCCATGCGATTTTACAGGATGTGGCCCATTTCTATGTGTGGCGGGAATAGCTACATTTGCTGTGGGATTACTTGCTTTCCTAATGAAGGATTCTATAGTGCAAATGATTTATTTAAGCATAGCCCTTCTTGTATTTTCTCTATTCTTGGTGTATGATATACAGTTAATGGTCGGACGTCACAGTAATCAGTATTCTGAAGAGGATTATATTATCGCAGCACTCAGCATTTACTCCGATATCATACGAATATTTATAACTTTATTACAATTAATTGGCCATATTAGATCAAAAGATTAAATCAAGTATATTATTGTGCAAACCAAGTGGTGTTTTTTATAGGTTTGTTAATTCTTTCTTTTTAAGTCTTACAGGGGTTATATACCCTCGCATATCAATTTTGATCGATAGTAGAGGAATGACTATAGTTATCTTTCTACAACCATTGGGCTTTAGCATTGACAGTCTCTTGTTGCTGTAATTCACGAAATAGACGGACAAACTGATATGGTTAGAACGTCTGTTATAGACTCCGTTGTCGCTCTGTCCACTGTCTGACGATTCTACGTTGTAATTGGTCTTTTTCATTGGGTTTGTGCCACACAATATGTTATTATTAACATGCCCAAAAACTTTTTTCCATATCGATCAAATTGGCTCTCGCACACCTCGTGTGTGTTCATTAAAGCTATCAGCGGGCTGACCGGCACAGCAGGTGTTGCAATGGGCACCCTTACACGGTACTCGAACACAACTGGAGCTTTAAAACTTTATAGCCCCTTATTGTGTCGCCATATGCGGCCATTCATTGGGTCTAAACTGAACTGGACTGCACGTGTACTTCGTTTCGTGGCTGTTCAGTTCATTGTTGACCCAAAGCCAGGAAAAGTGCCATTGATACATTTTCAGTCATTGGGGTTCAATTAAATTGTATCAATATTGAACTAAGCCACGGCTTGAGCATGTAATTGGTGGAAGGTTCATCCCCCAAAGGTAGAAAGCAGTAAATCGGACGTTAGAACACGCAAAATTATGAATTAGCATAAATAGAATACGGCAAAATGAATTGGAAGAAAGGATATGGAATAAAGAATGTAAAAGAATGAGTTAGGGTAAACTAGAAACAAGTAGAAAGAATAAGGAATGAATGAATGAGACAGAGGGAACAAGGAATACGGAAAAAGAAAGCGTAAAAATGAAAAAATACGGAAGATTAAAGACGAGCGAAAGAAGTTGGCAGAATAAAAAAAAGGAACTCAGAAAAGGCAAAGATGAATGAAATAAGAGGAAGGTGGGAAGATGGAAGATTATGTTTATCAAGTTAATTTACAGTTAGTTATATATGTCTATGTATAATAGCAGCAAACTTAGTCGTGCCCTGCCCACCAGTACTCCCAGCTCTTCGTAGACTGAAATTTGAGGAACTTACCGGCGGAGCGTTCCGTTGTTCAGTTGCCCAAATGACAGGGCCACTCAATCAGCCCAACTAGCGCGAGCTCCCCAGTTGGACTCGCCGAATGCAGCTTGAACAAAAGGCATTCAGAGTTTTATTTCAGTTGCATTCAAATATTTCTATGAAAAAGTTATGTTAGCAGGCTGAGATCTGAACTATTGAGTTGAGCATGCGACAGGAGTCTGCTGAATGCTCTGTGCTGGATGAGTGCTCGCAGGAATATGCTTAACATACTAGGCAAGTGTAGCTGAATGGCTGAGAGACTCAAGGCAGTTGTTCCATTTCCCACACTGAAGTGAACTGACTAGATAGATAGAAGCTGTGGCAATGTACGACGATGATCTCTTGTTGTTGTCGTGTTGTTGTTGCTGTTGTTGTTATTGTTGATGATGATGATGCTCGGCGGGCAACACATTCAAATGCATTCAACTTGATGTAACGCGGCTCAATTAGTTCGGTTCAGCAGCTTCCAATGCAGATTTCCGAGCGATCCGGGATGCCATCCTGCCCTGTTGCCCATTGTCGCCAGTCGCCAGTCGTCGTAGTCGCCGTCGCAGTCGCAGTCGTTGTCGTTGTCGTCGGCTTTATGTCAACTCCTTACACGCTTTTTCACACCACCGACACAAAAACGCCTTGCTGCCCATTTGTGCTGCCTGAGAGGCCATGAATATGCTATACCTATAATATATATGTATGTATAGAGAGGGAAAGAGAGAGGGAGAGAGAAAGTTTGAATATAATGTGACACGACTCGGATTGGACTGGGCTGGCTTTTATGCATTTAGCTTTATGATTTTGCTTGACAACCGCATCCATTATGAGCATCTCCCTTGCCCCACCAATTAGTAGTCAAAGGCAAGCGATATATATGTATTAATTAGTAGATAAAAGTAATATAG